TGAGATGTATATGCAACCAAATTCAAGCAATTACTTCAATTATGTCTGTGCGATTCATACGAAGAGGGCTGTTTCTTCGAGCCTGTACTTCACGAAACCTGTAACTCTCCTGAGGCTTTCGTTGTGAATATGCTAACACATGTGCACATTGTTAGAGACTACATATATTTAGTACGTCTTGTACGGTACCATAAGGAAAACCCGCTAACCTCATCCTTCGCAAACTAGTCCGTCATACTTTTCACATCATGCTCGATGTCATTACCCTTATCCAACACCCTCATATACTGGTTATTCAGAGTCATTCCCTTCCGAGTCATGTTCCCAGGGGTTCTTCTTGGGAGCAGGATCGATCTCATACATCATCCACCCACTGAGCGACTGCAGCGAATCCAGCTTCTTCTCCTCCGACCCAGCATCGGAGTCATTGCTGCTAGTGATCTCGATACCCAGCGATCCGGCGACCATCTTTGTCTTGTACTCCGTACCATTGTCGTTCACCAACACAGGCACAGACGCAAAGCCCGACGGGATATCATCGGTATCCACCCGATGGTACGAAACTCCGTCCAATTCCAACAGCTGTTTATCGGATTCGTCGACGTTCCAACTCTGCGTTCCTGTCTTCAGATTATACATGCACTTGCCCTTGTCGTCCCAGAAGCAGAATGCCGTTAGCCAGCCTCCCAGATATGACGGTCCGCTGCCCCCACCAGAGCGATGGGCGACCTTCTGCCAGAAGTCGCGGGAGGCAACGGCCTGCTCCGGATCGAACGTTGCGATGAAATTGCGCAGAACAGGGCGAAGTAGATCGGCGAATGTACTTGCTTCAGGACCCAATTCAACGAGTTTCTCCAGCCTGGCGAGGATATCTTCGTAGTCCTCGCGTTCACCCAGTATAGTGACAGAGGGAATGCCACACATGATACTCATCTTGTACGAGAAATAGGCCTGCATAGTGCCCATCATGAGTACTGCAGCTGTTGTGCGATCGCTGACTGTGGTCGTGCTGAACGCAGGCATGATCCAATCGCGCAGATCGGGGTCCTTGACGTTCTCCTGTATGAGTCCCGTCATCCGTCGAGCTAAGGCACCGATGTCCACGGAGTGAATGCTGCCCACGTCTTTGACCTCGAGCTCTTTCTGTCCTTGGTGCGAGACGAAATGATCACGTAGGGCTTCGGCATTGGCGTTGATGTAGAAGTTCAACTGTGAGAGGATTGCGAACCAGACGTCTTCCGGGCGGATGGTGAGATGATGGTGGTAGCTATACGCATCGAAAGCTGCGTGGACGAAGCCATTGTTGGAGCCGACGATGCAAGACTTCTGGAGTTCATCAGCGGAGACCGAACTCCGGATTAGCCATTTGCAGGCCTGCGAGTCTCGTTCACTGGTGCGTGCGAGGAGCTTTTCTGGGGTTTCGACGTTGTAGGTTCGGCTGCGTGAGCTTTTTGAGTAGTGGTCTGCAACTGTGAGGGTGGTTGGCATGGTTGCAGGAGTACGTGATGGATGATTTTGACTTTGACTTTGAACTTTTGAGATTATTTGAGGATGAGAAAGATGTGCGGTCTTTGATGTAGCTACGTTCGACTTTAATATGCATGCCGTGTGAGCTTCAGGCTGCTGCTGCCTAGGTATGCCTAGATCAGCCGATGTTTGTGGATTGGTGCCTTCCAACATCTCGATGCGCAGACGCGCAGTTGCTTAACGCTTCGCGGGGTAGTGAAGTCTCTGTACTCCAACACCTCACTTTACTGCGACAAAGACGCATTCGGTGCAATGACTTCCAACAGGATCTTCATATGAGATTGCGATATATTGATGGATTCACTACTAGGTTCATTGGCAGCGTGATGCCCCGCTCAGAGAATCGACCAGACGATGCCGTCCTGCAGGTGGCTACCAGTGGCCAATGATCTCGACTGAGAAGCAGCGACTGCGCATCTGCGCTTTCCCCGCCACAATACGACTGACAGCGTGCGAAAATCAGGACACCAGGCTGCAGTCTGGTCAGCATAGCCAAGCATGTGGCGTCGGGGTAGAGAAACCTCAACGACACAGCCTGGCCAACATCTACTACTACCACTACTGTGTTCATTTCAGCCCAGACTAATATCGATATCTGAGTATACTGGCTCTCCTTCTATCTGACCATATACTACGGCATTTTACGCGGTTCAGCGAGTATACGTTGATTCTGCTATTAATTCTTCGGTTCCTCCAGGCGCGGCTATGGGAGACACACTGTTGCCCGGATTTCTGGCGGAAGATCCACCAGGTTCCTTGTACCACAAGCTTCCTACCCCAACATCCTTCCGCCTGATAGAGATCGCCAAAGCTTCTCCGTATCTCAGTTGCAGCATGAGAACGGTTTCGCTCGCGGATTCCACGCCATACCATGCGCTCAGTTACTGTTGGGGTTCCTCAAACCGGAGTGTTACTTTACGATGTAACGGTTTCAAGCTGAAGATATCGTCGAATCTAGCAAAGGGAATAAAGAGGTTGTATGCGTATGCAGTAGAAACGCATGCCACGTTGTTCTGGATTGATCAAATCTGCATCAATCAAAAAGACAACGCAGAGCGTACCCAGCAAGTTCAGATGATGCGATCAATCTATCACCAAAGTACGCATACTATAGTCTGGCTTCCGCTCAAAGATGGTATGCATTTTCCCTCAGCAGATCAAAGTTTCTCCAACTATGTTCATGCGCTTGGTCGCTGGGACGGGATGAATGTATCTAGTGCAAAAAACCTGTCTCACTTACTGACGAGTTCAAGAGATTGCCATGGCCGCGAACAGCATTTTAGCTGATCTAGACCATGACTACAACAGACATCCAGATCATCATCAGGTCCCCCCAATGGATGACAAAAGATGGAGTGCCTTAGCTCAGTTGCTGGAATCACCATGGTTTGAACGTTGTTGGATCCTGCAAGAAATAGCAGTGTCCAAGTGTCACCCTGAGATTCTTTGCGGTAATCAGAGAATCTCCTGGCCACACTTTCAAAGAGTGATAGTTTGGCTGAACAAATCTGGAAGCACGCATCGTACGGAACGCATGGAGCTTGTCAATAGCATCCATGAAGTGTCCGGCATAGAACACTGGTTTCTGCCGTCAAGGAAGAGATTTGCTCACCTGCACGTCCTGCTACGTTTGACGAACTCATTCCGTTCTACGGACCCAAGGGACAAAGTCTTTGCGCTCCTTGGGCTTAGCAGTGCGATCCGAGATCCTGATAATTGGCCCAGAGAGTTAGTGCCCGACTACACCCGACCGTTGCAGGATGTGTACGCGGCTGCCGCGAAGTACTGTATACGACAAAGTAATAGCTTGGATGTACTATCGCAGTTTGTTCATAACGGGACGCAAGGAGCATCACCATCACACCTTCTTTTCCCTTCATGGGTGCCGAGGTGGGACCTTGCAGATTCCACACGCCGCATCAGTGCCTTCGAATTGTACTGGGTTCCCCACGAGACTCGAAATCTGATTGAAAGGTTCAACAAAGCATCTAAAGGAACCGAGGCTATAACGGATTATGATACACCATTGAGCATTCTTCGTGCACTTGGAATACAGGTCGATACAGTCAGCATTTGCCTTCCTACAGTAACGCCAGATGACACCAAGTTCCATGCAGGAGTGCCAGAGCGTTATGGTGATTATCTATCGAACATTATCCCACAACTCTACAGAACGTGTGAGAACCATGTCACACACATCTCGGATTCATTCGACAGGACGTTCTTCCTGGTCACAACAGCAGGATTGACTCCTGAGCATGGCACTGCTCGACATGAGTCGCTAGATGCCTTCAAGTCTATCGTCAAATCCTCACAGGAACCGGCAATGCCGCATCAATTGTTGCTAGAAGACAACAGAGGACCCCTACAATACGCAATCAAGCCATATGACTTCCAGCCATACGCGGCGCTTAGGGGTCGCTATCCAAACCGCTACATCGCATCGCTCCAACGACTGATGAACAGACGTCTGTTTGTCACTTCCTCTGGTCACCTTGGTCTCGGGCCAGCAAGTATGATGTCCGGAGATACAGTCGTGATATTGTTTGGCGGAAACGTACCCTACATATTGAGGTCACTGGAGAACAACCGATGGCATTTCACTGGCGAGTGCTACTTAGATGGGTACATGTATGGCGAAGCACTCGAAAATGAGGGCAGAGATTTGTCGAGACATGAGTGGTTCGAAATGGTGTGAACGAATTCCTATTGGCATCCAAAGACCATAAACTCACCCGAACAACCTACGGAAAGTCATTGTTAGCTACAGTACAACATATCCTGCCACGACCGACGCAGCACCAGATTGTATAGCTATGGAAATTAAGCTGGGAACGTTTCTTTATAGTCAAATACCGTTTCGGAGACAATGCTCCATTACAGGCGAGAATGGATCGGAAGAAGCAAGAAGCAAGCGATCGGGTCCGGTCTGTGCTAGCCTGTTCCGCAGTAAAGCATGCAGCAAGACTGAACTTGGGTTCGCAGATGCTTTAGCGAGGCGAACTAGAGAAGGATCAAGGCAGTGACGAAGCTGTTTCCAACGACATGCATGGTCGAAGCATGATGAAGGAACAAAGGTGTTCTCGCATGGCGATGAGACGCTTGAGTGTAGTTTGATGGATGCCAGATTTGTTGTTAAACGCGCTGTCCACGATATGAGTGCAGCTCCGTACCATCTCCTACGTTAGCAACTCGATCCGATTCAAAGTAATACAACGCGACAGTTTCTTAATGGGTATTTGACTTGTTCATTATTACCACGAAGCCCTCTCAAAGAGGCATTCGCACCACAGTGCCTCCCCAGCAGGGTCAGCCCGTGTTATCCTATACGCGAATATTCAAACACATTATACACAAGCTCTTTGCCCGGTCCACATAACAGCTCTTATGACTTTCGTATCGGGGGTCATGTCTTGTCCGCCTTGAAATCGTACTGCTCGGCTTCGCTCCAACTTCGAATCAAAGGGGGTATCTTATGCCATGCCTTTGCCAGCTTGCCTCTGTGGTGGGTGTTAGGAGGCTGTATGGGGAAAGAATTGGGTGGTTGGGGTGGTTGGGAAAACGTACCTTCTTGTTGATGAACATGGCAATGACGAGGATGGCGACGAGGAAAACAATGACGAAGACGACAATGACACCGGGCTCACGCTGGGCCCAGTTCTTGTCGCGCTTGGCGAGCTGGTGGAGAGCGTACTCGGCGCGAGCGGCGATGGGCATGCTGATGGCGGCCATTGTGTTTGTTTGTGGGTTTCTGGGGCGGAGATGTTAGAAAGGTTGTTCGTACGAGCAGCTGTGAAGACCTGGAAGGATTCCCGGAGCTGGAGAAGCACAGGCCAGGCGTATTGGGCGCGTGCGATTCACTCCCAAGAGACGTCTCGAGCGTGACGATCTTCGGCCAAGGCTTGTCGCGAGACTGGTCCCGATGGCGGTGATGCGATGCGATGCGACACGACGCGACAGGATGCGACGACGTGACGCGAACTCTCCCCGGCAGCTCCAGAACAAGGCGGCATTGAGCTTACATTTACGAATTGAATCGGTCCACTGTTTGAATATCGAGCTGAGGGAAGCTTTGTTTTGGCTGTTGATGGCAACGGAAGCTGGTCAGCGCGATCGGATCAAACCCACGGAAACGGTCGCTAGGCAGAGGGACTCGGCGATGTTTAATTGAAAGGCGCAGGTCGACAGCGATGCAGCATCAAAGAGTGAGAACGAAAAAGCTCTTAATAGCAAGAGGGTGAATGTCCGCTTTTAAATGCGCCGGCTCGCCGAAAATTTCTGCACAGTTGATGAGGCATTTTGTTTGGCCCCGGGTCCTAGCGGGTTGTCCGGGAGGCTCCAAGCTTGCAAGGGTGGGTGCAGCGTCGCTTCGGCCGGGGAATGGGCGCGGGCCTGGAGGGAGGGAGTAGGGAGCGGTACTTACGTCTGAGGCTCGTCCGAGTGGGTAATGGATAGTGGGCGCTGGGGGATGTTGGAGACTCGGGGCGAGGAGCAGCGTGAAGAGTAGATGAAGGTTGGGTCGGGCCTAGCAACCACCCGCGAGGGTTGAGGGAGCTAGGAGGGAGCTACCCAGTGCAGCCAATGGCGCGACATGCCATCATTTCGTCGTAGATGAGCCGACGATCGCAGCCTCACGTCGGACATACTCACGTTCGGGGATGGGACTGCACGTGTAGTGATATTGAGTCACTATCTGCTAGTCGCCTGTCATGAGAAGAGCCGCTTTAGAGCTTCACCGGTCGTTGATACCAAGCCATCCACTGTAGCACTCCCAGCACTCCCCATGAACCTCTCGCTCGCGCCTCCACACAGTTGCCCAGGTGCGTCTGGCGCTGCAAGCCGCTGACGCTACTCGTCGGCTCCACTCAGCCAGCACCCCTGCCACCTCTAAACCGTTCTTGTGCGGCAGAAGCAGCATCGATGTCATCGCCCATTGCTTATCGTCCATGACTGATGAAGGCGGCGCGAACCCACCTGCACCCTCGGATATCTCGCCAGGGCCGTTTGACACCAGCCGAACCGTGGGCAGCATCAACCGGGCAACAGCAGGCCTAGCGCACCGGAGCCAAAAACAACGCACGTCAATAATGCCTCATTTCCAGACGCTGGCTTCGCGTCGACAGGGCGACGCGCTACGCCGATAGCGCCCAGGCAGACTGGAGACGCGTGGGGTGGCCTTGGTAGCTCAGTGCCGGGATCCTCACTAAGCTTCTGCTGTGCCTGTGCCCCCGCATCTTGGCGAAGCATGGCACACGAGCCCTACACGGCCTTTGAAACGCTGCAGAGCATCACCATGTCCCAGGCACCATCAGCAGAAGCAAGTGGCGCGAGCTGCACGCGGGCCTTGGAACGTCTGAGTTGTGTTGCCGCGTCCGCTATCGCGACGCTGCCCGTACTGCCAATATTGTTGCTATCCGGGATCGTGGAATAGCGTCGCCACATGACTCGGCGCCCATGTGACCGCCGTCGCTGTTGGCATAAATCCTTATTCAGCCCATCATAACCACCGCAATGTGCAGCCAGCCATCGAGATATGCCGTCGCGCGCACCAGCTCCTCCACACTCGCGCTCAGCGGCAGCACCGCTCCGTGCAACACGGCCTGCGCCAGCAGCGGACTGCGTCTGCTCGGAAATAGTGTCGGCAATATCGCGTTCAGTGCTGTCCCGATGGTCTGTGGTTGCCCTGTCTGCCGTCAGCGCCTTCCACACCTACACCGCAATTACACGTACTAGACGACAGGTTCGGCGTCACCAGCCTCTGCACTACTCTCAAACTCCCGGGTGCCGTCTCTTCTTGCACCCCTTCCGACGACGCGTGTGGGAGATAGAGCCGCACTGGTAGATGTCTCAGGTTGACTCCTTGCGGGTTCAGCAGCTTCTGGTTGATGGGGTTGTACACCGCAAAGTCGTGGTTCTTCACTCCGCTCCAGAGCTGCGTGCTGTCTTCTTTGCTTAGAAACATGACCGTCTTTCCCGTTCCTGTCCTGAGATAGTCGGCCTCCTTCACGCTGTGGATGAACAGATCATGCATATGCTTATCGTCATTGTCGAGCTGAACCAGCTGTTCAGAAGGGAAGTCGGAGAAGTGTACTGTGAGTCGCCATGGTAAATGTTGACGCTCTTCCTCTGTGCTCTCGATCTTGTGCGCTTGCTCAGCCTCTGTATCCGTGTCTGAGGGATACGCCGGCTCAGCGCCAGAGTAGAGGTCGTAGAGGAGACCCAGTGGATAATGCCATTTCAGCGGCACGTCTTCGTAGGATAACCATGCGTCTTTGGGCGTGACATCCGGGTAGATGAGGCTGCGTGCGAAGAAGGCATGTAGTTTGTGTATGAGTAGCCCGAGATACGATATGCGTGGAAATTGTATCTACCTCTAGTCAGCCATAGCACATCCGATGTATCATCGCCAGACTATGTCGACACTGCACGTACTAAGTAAGGATCCGACTCGTCGTACGTGCGACAGTCGCCCTTGTGCAGGCGTATCTCGAGCGGAATACTCCCGTTCCAAGTGCTCTGGCGCAGTCTACTCGCAACGTCTCTCTCAGCCATGGGCACGAAGCATCCGAGATGGCAGATTCGCCAGCCGCCGTTCTGGTAGCCTAGGCGCAGCTGAGCTGATGGATAGTGGGGTAGGTCGCTGCGCAGGCAAGGCGGAAGGCGCGTTGATGGCGGGGTATGCAGGGGAGCTTGGGCCTGACGTGCAGGAAACCCTGGGTCTTTTCGCTCGTGCGTGCGTCTCTGCGACAACCCAGACCGACTGTCGTAGGAAGATGGGCGCTGGTCGTGTCTTCTTCTCCACCCACAACGCATGTATGACGTGACGCCGTAGATGGGTGACTTACTTACGCACGACAGCTGGACCATGGATGTGGCACTGAGCCGCAAACGCTCGCGCCTGACTGTTGACGAGGACGAGGACGAGGTCCAGCGGAGGAGGGAGCCGTCGCCTGCGCTGCCGCCATTGGGCGATGCGCTGAAGAGGTCCAAGACGCAGTGCGAATTGGAAGAGCTAGATATTATAAGTCCTGAGGAGGCATGGGGCGTGGATGTGGATGCGATACTGGCTAGCAACACGCTCGCGACCCCAGTAGGCAGTATGCTGGAAGCGCATAATAACTGGGCAAGGTATAAGAGGCAGGCGTCATTAATCGTATTATGTGTGCAAGGGAACGTTCAGGTTCATTACGACCTGCTTTGGTAAGACCATCCCAAGCTCATCTGAACTCCTACTAACACCCAACAGTTCCTCTCTTCCAGACCTCTACGCCCTATCGCCCTCCCTACAGCCCTTCGTCCTCTGCCACGATCCCTCGATACATATAATCCCCTCCTCTGCGCCTTTCTCGCTCCCCCTTATACAAGCCGCGACTCCATCGAACAACCACTTCGTGCGCCTGGGGCTTCTACATCCCCTCGGTGGAGGCAAATTTCCGTTAGATGCACTCGTTGTGTTGGATAAGAAGGGCAGAAGGAGATTAGTGTTGCCATTTGGCTGGGGTGCTGGTAAACATGCGGATACGCCTGCCGGACGGAGTATACAGCTACGGTTGATGGCGTTGCTGAGGAGTTGTGTTGCGATGCTAGAACAGGAATAATAGAAGCTATTGTGCAGTTTGCTTCGACACTTGGTCTGAGGAATGTGAGGTTGATGTGTGAGCAGGGAGTGGCTCAAGGCGTCTGCAAGCAAGATGAAGGACGATATGGCTATGCTAGTAGCATGCAGACACCCTATGGTATTACTGTTGGATTAGCATGAAGTAGCGTGTTTGTTTTCAAGAAGTTTGATTAGGTGTGTAGTACTACCATGAACGCCAGACTCCTGCTATCCTTCCGGGTATCATCGCGAGACAGACTACCCAAGGACGCCTATTGCTGGAGAGGCTCCGCGAGAAGCAGAGTAATGTAAGAAAGGTGATGGTATGAAATGGAGACCACCTCGACGAAGCCTACATTTAACGACCAACAGCCATCGCGTTGTCGTCCTCCTTCAGTGCCTCGATGTAACGTTGAACGTCGCCCCTAACAGCGTGGACATAGTACGCCAGCCATCCTTTGGTAGAAAGCAACAGACTGCCGTACGCATAGTCTTCGACGTATTCGTTTTCGTGAACAGCGATGTGAGTGGCGAAAGCGCACATGATCAGTTCATACTGAGGTATCGTCTTCGCCTGCTCGCAGAAGTCCGGGAGGAACAGCCCATGAATCCCACACAATTTCCTGAGCTCTTCAGACTCCAGTCCCTCTTCGCAGAGGGCTACCATCATGAACTGGAAAGCGGAGTCCTGGAGATACTGCATGTCCATTTCGATTGCACAGAAGTAGACTTGCAGGTGGAGCTCTGTCTCTGATGTGCCGTAAGGAATTTCGTCGGGGAGCTTGTACTCTGGATCGAAGAGGGCGTCACACACGATTTCCACGACCGCAGGGCTGTACTTCCGGGTGGGGCACTCCGCGAGGTTTCCGGGCTTGATGCAAGTCAGTGAAGCACTTCAGGGAGATGACGAAAGACTTACATTGGCCGCAAGCCAGGTAGACAAAGACATTGCCAACTCCCCTGGTACGGCAATGCTAGTCAGACTATCATAAGTCGGGAGTGACAGGTCACGCTTCAGATGACTGCGGAATTCTTCGCGCCACCTACGGAGTGGTAAGTACCAAAAGAAACACAGGTTCAAGGTGGTGGGACTTAGACTTACATCTTGTGGTTCTCTTCGCGACCTGCCCGTTCCACTTCTTCAAAGGATAGATCCCCGAGGAAAAGGCGCACCATGGTCATGTCAGCCCCCCTGCGACCCGGAATGGGCTCGTCGTTATCGATGGTCACACTAGACATCGTGGTCGGTGGAGTGACTGCTTCTTTTGGTTGTGGAGGTTCGTCGTCGCTGGAAGTTATCACGCGAGAGTGATTTGGAACGATGCAGGTAGCGGAACTGAAGTAACCACCCACCACAAATATTACCGCGATATGGCTGCCTAACTAGCGACCCTGGCAATGCACGGGCGGAGTTCAAGGTCGTGTTTTGATATGACGTACTCAACTTGGTGCTGCACATTCACTCTAACGGTTTGAATCTACGGAGCACGCACGATGGCAGCCGAACGGCCCTGCATCACACAAGGAACGTCTCCCGAAGATGGTAGCTGAGGAATCTCATTATGCGTACACTACGTATGCTCGATTTATCTCTGATGAACGCCTAGTCATGCTATCCTTCCGGGTATTATCATCTAAAGTACAGCCCGTGACGCCTACGCCTGGAATACCTCCGCTACAAGTAGAGTCATGAAACAAGGAAAATGAGAGGCTTTAAGAAATACGACCTCGTTGTGATCGTCTGTAAATGGGAACGTACAGACTACAAAAGACCACGTATACTCATGAGTTGACACCCCATCGCCTACAAAAGTCGTTGTTGCTGCCAAACCCCCTACTGCTCCTGCTTATCGGTGACTTCGACGTTGTCGAGATCCTTAGACGCGTCAATCATGGTGACATCCTCCTTCGGCTCGACTTCACCACCTCCAGTCTGTGGCAGACCAGACGGTACTTGGGCTGCGCTAGGGGCAGAGACATGGAGACCTTGGATGGCAGGAACGCTGGTCAGAGTATCCTGTTCTTGGAAGCTGGACTCTCCACGGCTGGTATCCAGGTCGATACTGTCCTCAGTGGAATCGATGAGGGATATGATGGTGGAATCACCGACATCCTCACCCGCTGGGACGCTGTGCGATGATGATGCGTCGAGTTCCTCCGTAGCGGTAGTGAGTTCCGTGATAGTGGCGTCGCCTTCATCCGTCGCGTCGTCGTTCCTGCTGTTGGTGGGCTCTTCACTAGCGAAAAGATCGTTGATGGCCTGACGTGTCATAGGCTGATCACCTCCTTGATTACCGGCGGTCCGTGGGCGACGCCATCGAGGACCTTGCGGGCTGTGAGAGGCAGCGTGGGGAATGAAACTGTCATCTTCATCGTCTTCAACATATGCTTGGTTCTGGTTGCGCGAACTTGGGGTGTTGAAAAACGGACGAAAGGCCGGTTTCCGCTCGTCTTGTTCAGGGTTGGTAGCTCGGGTCTTTGAAGCTGATGTTTCCAGCGAAGTGCCCGGAAACTTCCGCTTGTTGGACGCAGTCTTATTAGCGGGGGTGATGAGAAAGCTACTCTCGGCCATCGCCTCGTACATTGCATATCGCGAGTGGCCTAGAAAGTCAAGGTACTTGCTACCGCCTTCTTTAAGCCAGCGAGACCTCTGCGATGCTCCGTATGTCGCGATCATACACAGGAATCCTTCGTCGATAGGCTCTGGTCGATCAAATAGCTTGTGCTTTTCCAGCACCTCCACAAATTGTTCGGCGGTCGGACGCTCTTGACGGATGGTGTCTCAAATGTTCCGGAACGCGACCTTTTGAAGTACACTTGCTTTCAGATATGTCGCGCAAAGGTAAACTTTGACATGAAGCTCCGTCAGACCGCCCTCCACCTTCACAGTGATAGTGCCGTCGTCAGAGTCCTTGGCCGCCTTCTTGAGGTGCTCCAATGTGTAATTCTCGAGCTTCTGCCGTTTATCCAGGTTGTATTCGGTCTTCATGAGATACTGCACCACCATCTCGACAACGATATACTCGAAACCATCGATTGAGACGATGGACTTGGTGCTTTGCGCATCTTGAAGCTGTCTGAACGTCGGTATATGCAGCCAACACAGCAACAAGCGTCTACATCAAACATGTAGTACGTGCAAATCATACGCACCTCTTCCTTGATCTTGACCGACCCGCCGACAGCAAAGCATCGGGGTATGAGGCAAGACGCCTCATGACTGTCTCGATTGACGACAATCGTAACATCAGCCGGTGTTTCCTTGACTAGGTTGTCCCGCCACCTGCTTCTGTCAGCGACCCGGTTGTATACATGCTTCGTTGCCATACTCCTGGTAAGTCTCATGGGCCATTGGGGATGTCTTCGAAGCCGCTTGCTCCCCGCGCAAGATGCGCAGGAATTCCATATCGGCCCCGGGCATGTTGTCTGTTCAAGTTGATGTCTAGGCGGGTATGATTGGAGGCGTTGATGATACAGTTCCCAAGACGCGCAAGTAGGATGGTGGGGGGACCGGACAGTGTAAATATACTGGCCAAAGTTGGCGCTAGTAGATATCACGTGCAGTGGCGTCAGGTGCGCTGCTTTGTGTCAGTGAAAGGGTAGAAACAGCCTGTTTGCTATTTGCTAGGTGGTACTTCGACGCACCCCAGCTAACTTTTCTACGAAATACCAGCGCTTGACTATGGTCATGGATAAGAATCTCCCGTCGACATATCGTGAACGCAGGACATCGGCGCCGGAGCTATCGACACTATCAGTCAGTGCATTTCCCCCGGCTGTTATGTATTCGCCACCAGAGAACGAAGAGCGCAAAACTGTCAGCAGTCGAGAAAGTAAGTCGCAAAGCAGCCCGAAGCCGGATGCAAATACTTATCCAGCAGACTCGCAGCTATCAAGTTCGGTCACTCCAACTGAAGATGTGGTGTACGATATTACATCCAACTCAGTTGATGGCGACAGCAGACAAGCTTCAACACCTGGTAAGTCATTATACGGGATATAGGAATGATGTCACTGATGTGTTGGAAGGCCATATTCCCGCCCGCATAGATGGTGCTCACATATCCTTGCAATCTCAGAAAACTCTTTTGGAACATGTCTTCAAGGGAAAACCCCTTAGGTTACCACATCCGCAATTCGTCTGCGCCCAGTAAGCATCGGATATAAGTACGACTAAGTACCCGCTGATAGAATGAAGACGTGACCGGATTGTTCTCGAAAAGCGAATCGGATGCGACTTCACGCTAGTCGTTAATGGTGTACAATTTTACGTCCACTCGGCCTTTCTCATCGGCGGATCGCAAGTACTGGAGGACTATATGTTCTCTACCAAGGTAAGCGTGGAAGTCGGATTCAAGAGCGCAGTATCAAATACTCACATTGTTCCAGAGCACATCTGAGCCTCCTACCAGAGAATACGAATTCGACGCACAAATCCACAGCCCGATCATGGTCGACCGCCTCATCGAGTTCATATATACTGGAACATACACACTCGGTCAGGGCGGACAAGCGACATTACTGCGTCACCACAGTAAGCTGCCTAGGGGCCTGACAAGCGCGAGCTATCCCATGAATCTGGAGAGCGCATTGGAATTTCACATGAAGATGTACAACATGGGAAAGAACCTGCAGTATCAGTCCTTAGTGGCCATCTCGCACACGAAGATGGCAGAGGCGATGCTGTGGACGAGCAAGTTCGGAGTAGGAGTAGGAACTGTGAAGAAATTCGTGACTTGGGCATACGATCCGGCTCAGAATTTCCAGGACACAGACGAACGTGCGGACGACACCTTCGGAGATGACAGCTTGAAAGAGCTGATAGTGGCGTGCGTCCTGCGACACATCCATCAAGAGCTCTGGGATGAGAGTGCGATAGCAGACTTCCGAGACTATGTCAAGGCATTCCCTGCTTTAGAGGTAGACGGCGAGCTTGCGGAAGAGGAGTACAAGGACTTGCTGAAGACGCGACCTGGCGCTAAGAGGGCGATGAAGAGGGCAAGGCGAGGACAGCAACATTAGCGTGAGGATGCGAACATGCCTCAGCTCTTAGAGGATTCTCGTCATCTGTGGAAATGGTTGTAGCATCGGAAGCTGCGAGTTACCGCATCTCGTCTTACAGTTCCGATGCTTCCGGGTGAGGAAGCCACGAGGTAAGCATCCGTGAAGAGCAGCGTGACGGCAGTCTGAAAGACAGGTTGCAAGGCCATTTGCAGAGCGTTAGAGCGTGTATTCGATCGACACCGTAGCATAGCCGTGGAACATCTCCCCAATGGCCGTGTTGCTGAGATGAAGCGTGAAGCGTGGATGCAGGAGATGTGAGGGACGTCTCCGTGAGGGTGGCTGGCGACTAGCGTGCTTCGCCACCCTGCCGCGATGACATTGGTTGGCGCGCCGTTAAACGTTCGATCACCTCTTCTTCGAACATGCGGATCTCGACACTCCATCAGCTGAAATGCGGATTGACAACGATGGCTTCCTTCTGTGAACTGAAGTTCCAGAAATTACGCGTGCAGATGCCATTCGTTCCGCAGCAACAAGCCTGAGCAGCCTTCTCATTGCACGAAGACGCGTCTATTGCTCGTGTGTTCGCGATTTCGTCTCGCGATGATCGGATCGCGGACACTTTGGGCCCAACCTAGGGTCAGCTACTTGTTTGATAGCGCCGATTTGCTGGCGCGTCTGGCGTGATACCTAGGCAGCGTATCCAGGGCCCGTGCATCTTGTCTACACAGGGTCTCATCTCCTTGCACATCCTTTATCACCTTTCGCCACTACACACAAACTCTCCTTATGCCACCAATTCGCACAGAGAAAAAGAAAGGTTCAGCAAAGGCTACTCCTTCCGGCGGTCTCGCAGCCTTCGGCTTCAGACCTGCCCCGAAAGAGGAGGTCGTAGCCGCAGCGGCCCGGGCAAAGCCTCCAGTTTCATCACGATCGGCTGCAGACCTAGTAGCGCAAGAAGCGTCGAAGCCAAAACCTCGTCTTCCCAAGCCTCTCGTTAAAGGAGTAAAACAAGCCTCCTTCTATGACTCCAGATGCGACTGGGACGACAAGTACTACAAGATTATTGGGACATCGACACGAAAGATCATTTTGGAGGGGCCGTTGAGCTGACAGAGTAGGTCTCATACTCTACTCCCTCTCTACAGGGCATACCGTGCAATACTAAACCGCGTGTTTCTAGCAAACATATTGACGATATCCTCTTCCTGGGACCTAAAGTCTGCGACTCACTAACGGAAATCCATCTTACATACGTGAATGTTGACTACAACGCTCATAATGGTACGAGTACATGACTATGCAACGCTTTGTAGAATCATTTCTGACTATCACGTTAGAATGTCTTGTGACGGACGAGAGTATCAAGCTTCTTGCTAAGGCTTGCAGAAACCTAAAGAAGATCTCTCTACCCGGGTCTAGGAGTTCTGAGCTTGGTGATCAAGGCTTGATCCATCTCATTTCGTTCTGTCAGAACCTTACCCATCTGGAGTTTTCCGGTTCTGGCGTTACAGAAGTCACTTTCGAGCAATCGATTGCTCACCCAGATTGGGCGCCGAACTTGAAGAAACTACGCCTCAACGACCTTTCTTACAATAGAAAACCCATGCGTGCGTTGCGAGACTTTGGAAGGACGCGACCGACACTGCCCATCGAGCTGGTTACCCGTTCACAATTCAAGAAGTGGGATACGTGGTACCTGGAGACCAGTCCCGATACGTACAAGAACGGGAGAAAGGTGTCTTCTAGTCTCCCTACTGTTACTTGAGCTACATTTAGGCACGCTCGGCCAGACATACTTGTTTCAGTTTACCTTGTCTTGCGTTGGCTGAGCAGCTTCTTGTACCTAACAAGTTATCTAAGATACACACATGTTTATAAGTTTACAGGACTAGGAACACATTGCTTACCTCGAGGTTGCAGTGGGTTGAGCGAGTTGCATTAATACCGTAGATGATGATTGGCTGTTCTGACAACTCCCGCGAAGAAATCCAAGGGCTCAAATTGCTGCACACAGTTCTTTCCTCAGAGGTTGTCAGCTCGTCAGTGTGCCACACTAGCTGCCTAGGCGTTCGGAGGACATGCGCTGCACAATAGGCTTACGGCTTGGAACCCAGGTGGCTCGAAGTCTTACACGATGAGCTCCCTACAACAAAGTCTCACTACTTCTAAGAAGAGCAAATCCAATAAAGTCTTACAAAATAGCGCATCACTACATGTGTTAGAGAATTGGGAGGTTGGTGAGTCTCACCGAGTGTCAGCCGTAGGAACAAGACGGCGCGATGCGGAGCGCGCTAGAGACGCGTCGACACGAACACAATATAAAAGGTAAGATATCCGAGACCTTCCATCCTGTGCTCGATATTGTTAGTCTTCACTTTCCTTCTGGCAGTTACGCCGCCAACTCGCACGCAGAATTCGAACGTAACTCCAAAACGCAACTACGCCAAACTAGGCTTTCCCGTAGTCTCACGAAACGAAGCTTTAGCAGCCGCTACAAAGGCAGTGATAGCGACAACTCCAAAGCCGCCCCAGCGCAAGAAAACACCTAAACAATCCTGTCGAGTGAAGACGCAGTCATGCTCAATACGGACCCGCGATTCACCGCCGTCTCCTCCTGCCAGTCTACCAATAGCGTCAACTGTACTTGAAGAAAGCAAAGGCAAGGTTTCTGGCTCTGACGTTGATAAGAAATGCTTTGGAAGAGACCATGAGCTCCATGGATGTCCATGCGGGCGCGATTGTGCCGCTACACTTCTGACTGATGTCCAAACATGGCGGAAACCAATTCATCTTCCACTCGAGGATCACACAGCTATGGAACCGGAATGCCATAATGAATTCGACGATAGGAGCATAAGATGCGATCGGTGTGGGCCGGAACGACAGCTCGATGTAGGCTTGTAAGTCAAAAGGATTCGACGTGTCTTTCTTGGTAAAATTCCGCTAACACCTTGAAGCATGGACGACGACGCTCTCATGGCAGTGAAAATGAACGGAAGGATAAAGCATATTTACTCTGAAGGTACGTAAGTCGGAAGGTTTACCCGATATTCCACAAGAAGCAGCTGTGCTGATAGCGTACCCAGTAACACCTCGATTCTATAACTACACTAAAGAAGAAGAAGAAAAAAGACGCAAGACTGCTGAACTTCACACAGAGCAAAGTCTGGTTCATCTCATCCACCACTGTCCCGGTTTACAGTCCGCTCACTTAGACCATTGCTGCAGTCTTAGCGTCCTGTTCGCACTTATGTCTTCGTGTCCTTCACTCCTTAGCATCAACTTGTCCGGTGATCTAAGAAACCCTTGGCCAGTCGATTTCGAGGCCCTCGCTGAGCATCCAGAGTGGGTACCCAATCTGCGGGAACTGAGTTTATCGTGGACTGGGCGGTTGAACTATACTTACGGACGAATCGAAGAGGAAATGGGACCGGCTCTGCGCAAGCTTGCGAATGCGAGACCGAATCTCATCTTCAGCATAACTTCGGGTGTGAAAGTAATTTGGGCCAGAGTCCCAAGCTGGATAGAATTGAAGTGGTATAGAAAGCATAGGAATACGATGGGTTCGACGGTGTTCGAATCCAGACGACACGAAGAGGCTTCGTCCTGGATTTCAAGATATAGCTGAGTTAAAGCAGTCATGTCCTGTTTCGTCCAGAACAAGAGATATAGCAGTCGTATGATTTTCTATTGAGAATACTAGCAGGTCACAAAGCAAGAGCATCGGCCAAATCACTTGGCTCGCAGCCATCCTATCTCCGCCGGTTTCCACACCTACGCATTCTCTCGATGAACCCTCTGCTCCTTCTCACCCAGCGGCCCCTCCACACCTGGATGAACACTCTTCCTCCTCTTTTCATCTCTCTGTTGTCGACTTTGATCGAGGCTCTGCGCAAATTTCGAATTGGCTCTGATCTGCGGACCTTTCCAGTACACGATGTAAATGGGAAGGGTGACCAGGAAAGCAAGGCAGGCTAGAATAGTGGAAGCGTATTGCAGCGGCCGGCCAGGGATGTTCGAGTAGAGCGGTGTTGAGTATAGAGAAGCGATACCGGCTAGAGCGTCACGAGCGAGATCGTTGCCACCGGTTGCCGAGGAAGCGTAGGGGCCGTATGCGGCTGTTTGGTAGTCGATTGAAGACTGGTAGATTGCATACTGGGAAGTATTAGCCACTGAACACTGAGCACCACATGAAAGGCTCCAAAACTTACGTTCGCCATGCCAACCATTGCCGAGAAGATCATCGGCGCGATCCAAGGAATGCCATAGTCTGGGCCAAGTGACGTCCAAGCAAACCCAAACAAGCCGATAGTCTCCAGCGGAGCGAGGAACAGTAACCACCAAAGTCGAGCCTCCGGTTCGACTGATCCTGGATTCTGTCGTCGTTTCTTCCGGAAACTGATGATCGACGGCATGTATGAAGCGTAAGCCAGGAAGTAACTGATCAAGATGGGAAGGAAAGCTAGACCTGCGCCAACGACGCCAAAGCCCCATTGTTCGTAGACGGGACCGAAAGACTCCAAGAATGTGAAGATCAGGGCGTCGCTGAAACCACTGAGGAGGGAGAGCCATAGGACGATTGGTTCGGTAAAGAACATGTAGAAAGGTCTATCTTATCATTAGCATCGAAGCCATCAAGTCTTGAAGCCGTTACATACCTCCAGAAGATAGTGCCGACCTCTTTGAAGCTCATCTTATGGCCACCTCGGATCTCATTTGGGCCATAGATATTCGGGTCTTCACCTGTCTTACGTCGTCTCTTCGCCTCACGGTCCAATAGGATTGTCGAGCGAGTCTCGGGGTTGCAGACAAAGTGAACGAGCTGGACGAAGCCTCCGATGATGAGCTGGACCCAGAATATCCACTCGACCGACTTGTACCTAGAGAGCTAAGTCAATAACTGTCAACAAAACTTGTTAATGATTTACTCACCTTTCTACGAACGCTCCGATGATCGCACCAACAACGGACCCGCCCACAGATGATAGCACTAGGAATGCGACAGCAAACTCTTGTTCATCCGGCTCCCACATGTCGGCGAGTACACCAAGCGTGACCGAGCCGCCAGCCGTTGATAAGCCTCCAAGCGTCCGGACCACCACATATGTCGCATAGTTCTTCGACAAAGCGGCTGGTATTTGCCAGAGGTTGACAAGGAACAGACTGAGTTGCTGGATGGGCCATCGTCCATACTCTTCTGACCAGGGAGCCCAAAGTTCGCAACCGATACCATAGGCGATCAAAAACGCTGCCTGTGGGACGCGAGCTGCTTGTTCGCTGACACCATGATGTTCAGACACGGCGCTGACGGCATGCGAGTACATGGACGCATTCGTGTTGATGCTGATTTGGATGAAGAAGACGACGATGAGGATCTGCCTATCGTGGAATCATTGTCAGCGCCGTACATTGAACATCGCAACATGGAGAGAGTGATTGCGAGGAGGTTGTAAGCCTATGGTAGGCTCTCGACATGCGCCGCCACAATGGTCGGGTCTCACGGCAAAGCGGCATCCAGACAAGAGACATAAGCTCAACTCACCATTTGCGCCAAGTTGGGAACGAGTAACCAAGCTTGTCCCAAGCATCACTGTCTTGTAGCTCGACTTTGTCGCCTGTGATGATTCGGTCCGTCTTCTCTTGCTCAAGTTCTGTGCCTTCGCCATAGTTGGGGTCGCGCTCTGTGTCAGGCACAGCTGTCGGCTTGCCATCGTCTACGGTAGCCATATCGGAGTCCGCACGTACGTAGGAGGATGATTGAGAGAAAGGGGTGTGAAAGGCGGAAAACGAAGAAGTGTACGAGATATACTTCACACCATCTCGCCCACAGTGCATACGCCTCTTCGCCTTTCGCTCACCCTCTACGCGAAATCAGGCTGCCCGTTACTCCGTGCCTCTGATGTCAAGAGGCGGCTGGTTACATCTTCGGTAAGCTTACTCCGCCAATGTGAGGCTTGTCATTTTGAGCCAAGGCATACACAGCCGTGGCAGCCAAGAGTAATCAACTGATCGCGGGGTAAATAAGGGTGCATCGACCGATGATGGGGAATGCGATGTGCGTGATGTTTCCCATGTTTGGTCGATGCGGGTGTTGGGCCAAGAGAAGGAATGAGGCATGGCGTCATAGGCGTTCTGTACGCTGCGGTTACGCGGCGTCGACCAGGAAGTCGGATCCTGCTCATACAGTCGATACATGCAGAGTGCCTGGCGCGGAGTTTGACGCCGGTTTGCGTGATGTCATGCACCCAAGCAGTTGTTTAGGAGATGAGTGTGAAAGGATGTCGACACGTGGTGGACGGGCCCACGAATGGACGGCAGGCGCGCTAGGCGCACGCGACCTGGCAACACCGATCAGAGAGTGGTAATTCGCGGCATAGATGGGTAAAACCCGACATGTACCTCATGGGGATCGAATTACTATTAGGAGCACTTTTGCGACCGACTATCGTCCACCAGCTGTGCCATATTTACCGTTGCCCTGTCTGACTACCTCCCCTGCGGGCTCAACAGCAGCGCCGTTATCGCATCAACACACGCATAGAACTTCTGTCCAACCTCTGGCTGGGCGAGGTATGCCGAAGTCTTCTCCTTAATCAGTTCTTCGTGACTCCACTCCTCCAGTGGCACATCCTCTAAACCCGTCACATCAAACCGAAAGTACTTCATCCAGTTGCGCTCCATCAACGCAGCATGTTCGGCCTCAAATCTATCACCCCACGATCTTGCTTCAGCCTTCCTATCCTCAACGCTGTTCGCCATTTCGGGAATCTCGTTTTTGCGATTCAGGCCGACGCCCGTCCCGACCGAGACAATGATCATCATGTCGTTCGCATATCGGAACAGCTTCCTACATTCATACAGGATGTCGCGAACTGGGTTGTTCTTTGTAGTCCCATGATCAACGAGACCTTTCTCGATTACGAAGCGTTGCGGAACTCCTGGCTCGGATTGCACGTATCGTGGGGCTGCTGAGGTCGCCTTCATCGCTTGCCATATGGGCATGTTCGGTTCCAAGTCCGGTCCAGTTATGCGCCGTGTTTGGTATGATCGGATAAGAGCAGCTTTGTTCGTGCCTTCAATTCGTTAGTGAATTTTACCACGCTTCTCACTCCAGTACGTACCGATATCCATTTGTGTCGTAATTGCGAAACTTTATCGAGTCAGTATGTACGTCGCGGATGAATAGGCTTTACTCACACGTCGCCCGAGTCGGGCCGTCCATCTAGGAGTACTTCGTCCGGGTTGCCTAGCTCCTGCTGAACCACGCTCTTGATTTCGTTCTCTAACGCGCTGTCGTCAGGCTCCTGTATCTGTGCATGAGGGTCGAGATATCTGAAGTAGGCCCTTTTATTGTCGAACACTTGTTTGGCGATCTGCTTGTAAGCTTCTCTTGCTCTGTGGGCTTGCATGCGCAATCGACATAGCATGATGGCTATTATACCGCCAAGAGAACTGCCACCTGTCAAGTCGAAAATCTGGTGGCTGTCTAAGCGCTGCCCGACTTTGACGCAAATCGCATTGACGAGCGATTCAACTAAAAGGAGAGCAGATAAGCCCCGGATACCGTCACCGTCAATGGAAAGCAGAATCTTCGTCTCTCTCGTTCTCGAAAGGATGGCTGGTAGAGGTGCTGCTTGGTTTGGTGTCGGATCATGTAAGGCGGGATCGATGTACTGCGAAGATGGGCGCATATTGTTTTCAGGAGCTGCTTGGACAGTGGGAGTCGATTCTGGCGGTATTTGGGTGGCGCCAGTTGGCGCCGCAGCTTGAAATGCGTACGGGGAAGCATACACGGTTGCTGTCGTTGCTGACGAAGGCGTACTATGGTCGCGTGGCGAGCCGAGGAGAGCATTCTCAACCACCGTTGACGGTGAAGGTGTCATGAGACCTGCTACCGTAGTATGGGTGACAATCGGTTGTGATGGAGCCTGGCCGTATATGGGAGCTAGTGGTGGAGGCCCTGTAGCAGAGGGAGGTGGAGACGGCCATGGAATGTATCCAGAGTAAGGATCCCGGATAAGTCGCAACTCTGCTTCTTCTGCAACGCGTCGGACATCCGGATCTTGAGCCTTGCTTCGATACGTTAGTCTCACTACGGGTGATATCTGGAGAAGACGCGCGACGTACTACTTCACGTAGCTGACGTCCCAAGGCTCCCAGCGACCGGACAGCAAGAACTGTATCGAGGAAGGAAAGGCGGAGTCATGAAAGTAGTGTGTGCCCTCTACCGCCGAGTAGCGGACACAGCTGAAGTCCACCGGAGTCCACGACATGCTGTTGTATGGTGGTTATAGCGCGTACCAGTGGACAAGCCGGTAGACGGAGAGCTGGAATTGAGGCAGCACTCAGCCTTGTACTGGCAATCTAGTGAGAGCAGCGGTGGATCAGACGGCAGTCCTAGGAAACATGCGGTAAGCCACTAGCTGCCGCTGGGAGCTAGACCGTTAATCAGGATGAAGTCGCTTCTGAGAAGGGCTATTGTATAGCCAATCGCTACGCGACAAACGGCCCGCCTGCAAGGTATGCTCTGCGCCAGCTCGTCAAAATATGCTGCCATGCGTAGCGCTTCAGCGAGAATGCGGCCGCGTTTGACCGGCCAGGCGAGGCCCTGTACGGGCAACGTGTATGGACGAGGCCGCTCGGCAATTGGGCAGTTTGATGGATCTGTGAGACAAGGGCTTTGTGATACCCGGCCCATCCCTGCGTGTGCGTTCGTCACGAAAAACTCCCATCGCAGAGGCGATCGGATCGATCGCCAGGCTCAAAGTATACTGATAAGGGAAGATCTCGGGTCAAGGGTGTATGCAACTGCTGAACATCGCGACTGCTTAGGTGAAGACGGGCGATTCGCTAGCGGCTAGTGCATGACCATCGCTGGATTGGTCCACGCCCGCGGCCCGCAGCGTTCCGCTTGCTCGGCTCTCCCCCTCAACAGCTTTTCACTCTTCAGCCACACATAGCCCTTTCGCGACACGAGTGGATTTGGACAGCATCTTGCGGCGTTGAGCTTAAACTTGAACTTTCCCGAAAGAGTTGGCGTGAACGACTGCACGGTGACGGCGTAGTCGAACAAAGAACCTGGTCCCACCTGAGCAACGTTGGGGAAACCACTACAAACACCATTCGTCCAGAATAGACATGGAGTCAGGACAGAATCCACTCGGAACACTTTCGATTCTAGCAGTGGAACTGCGCGAGGCCATCTGGTCATATGCACTCACCGACACCACGATCGTGTACCATGCAATTACCGAAACGGTGCCAATCCCACTACTCGGCTGTTCCAAAGCGATTCGTGAGGAAGCCATATCCACAATACTCCGAGAGCGAAGCGTCACGTTCCAGACGCATGCTGCACTATCGGGCTTGCTCACGAATCATAAGAGCCAGCAAACAACAGACACGATCAAGGATGCGATAGCCCCACAGAGCCCAGCTAGATTGCCGAAGAAGATCAGGTTGAAACTGTTCTCCGAGAACCAGAAACTGTTCAAATGTACCGAGAGCAATTGGCTGGAGTATACAGAGGAGGAGCCGAAACTTGCAAGAGAACTTGATGGTTGGCGGGAAGCGCTGCTTCAATATCCTATTACACATCTCACAACAATAGTCATGGACTGCAATTCCAGTCCCACATACCATGGCGGACCGGGTTATGCACTTCCATGCATGAGTACGTTCGTAAAGCGTGTAGCGACGCGAATTCGCATGGTGTCAAAGGGAAGATGCCAAATTTTACTAGTCGCACCGCCAGGCACCGTGAAACAGCTTATCTGGCATGCTGGCTCAGCCTCCTTTCTGAGGAGCTGGACGCCAACCGACGACGGCTGGTCTGTAAGGAAGATTCAAGAAGCGCTCGATAAAACGGTCGTTGCTAATCCGTCCCCACCCACGCAAAGGAGCAGAAAGCGACGACGGACTACGGCAACGATGGAGTAGATTTCTGTCAAGATAGAGTAGACTTTTGTACATATCGTGAAAATCTTTACGTTCCTTCTTATAACTTATTACTCGCATACGAAGTTACTGGCATTATTGCAGGCTTATAAAATTTGGTATTGTGCATTACTTACTCGGGGCAAAAAACATCGTCACGAGTTTCCCCCCGAATTGACTTTCATGGCCATGGTGCAGAAGCCCACCCGAAGCAAAAAAAGAATGCATGAAATGCTCTCCAGCGGGGAATTGAACCCCGGTCTCCCGCGAGTTGTCTGTGAAGATGACAAGCGGAAATACTGACCACTATACTACTGAAGATTGAGCAACCGAGATGGTTGAGTAGGTGATTCGATGGGAGAAACGGAACATAACGTGTTTCATATTTACATTTCTGCTGACTGCGCAGAAACGGCTGCCGCTTCGACCTCTTGCTGCGTTATCACCTGGGCAGGCAAAAGTTGTGCGTGCTGCAAACTCATGTGCGGGCGGCTAGCCAGCCCTGGAGGGGCTATTTTAGTTACGGCACATGGCAGGCGAATAGATCAAGGCTGCTTACATAAGCTCCTGCAATCATCCAGAACCCATTAACACTGTCCGAATTGGTATACTTAAGTACAAAACCATGGCCCGAGATCACGGTATGTATCAGCTGGCACTATGCCAACACGTAAAGACTCGCTCGAATCGAAACTTGGTTATTCTATGTGTACTCACTGACCAAAAGCGCATTCTGTTCTATCACGCCTAGCTGTCACTTTCCTCATTGATTGAATCCCTTTGTCCATGCTCATCCTAGAAAGGCCATGTTCGCACACCCTGCGTTCTATATACTGGCTCACTGGAAATATTTCGTGCTTACGCATCTATACCACAAGTCACGCTTAGTCTCCACAGACATTGAAATGCGACTGCATGTTGTGTTGAAAGTACACTCAGGGGGCTTTGTGCATGTGAGCGATCTGGCGTCACGGACATGCAACATCTTGGTGACACTTGGAAAACATCCATAACGCCACACCCATCACGAGGGCATTGTGCACACCAGGATTTGGTTTTCGAAGCATATTCATTTCTCGCCGAGTCGATTCGTCGTGAAGACTCTAGCTTTATTCGTTCATGCAACCCATGCTCATTTTCTTTCATGAGCTCCGAATCCCACAGAAGATGATGAACCGAATGAAGTAAAACTCCGAACCAATTCACATGCACCACGCTCTTCAGTATTTCATGATCTATGCCTCGGTGGCAGCGGCCTGGGCCTTGGCACCCCTGGCCTTGGTGGGCTTGGACTCCTTGACGGGCTTCTGGCTCTTGCGGATGGCGGAGGCCTTAGCAACGGCGTCCTGGCGGAGGTCGGGGCGGTAGTTGCGCTTGGTGGTGGAGTTGACGATGGCGGAGTATGTCCTACGTTGGTCAGCGAGCAGCCCTTTGATATGCGGTATCGGCGCAGTCGAGCGAGGACAGCCGTGGCTTGGAGAAGACGTACTTGCGGGTGGACCTGCTGGGGCCGAAGGTGGTGGTCTGGATGGCAGATGCGGGCTGGTGGTGCTTGTCGGCCTTCTTGATGAGAAGAGTGACACCACCCTCGGGGCCGGGGATAACACCGATAGCCTATTCCAACGTTGTCAATACCGTGTCTTGTGTTGGTTCGCATGTGCGCGCGGCGCATTCGTGGTTCGTGGTAATCGTACCTTGTTGGCAATGGAGCCCTCGTTCTGAGCAGAATTAGTCAACTGATCCCAGGAATCCAATCTCCATGCATACCTTGCGGCTGTAGACGTTCCTCAGGTTAAGAGGATCGCGCGAGAACTGGACACCGTTCGCCCTCTTGACGAGCGTGGAGCTGCGTCCCTCTGCCATATGTCAACCCCAGTCCCTCCCAATGCGCGTCCCAGTCTTTCACTCACTGGTAACCTCCCAGGCAAGATCGTGCGAGATAGTGGTGGCCATTGTGTCTGTATGGAATGTGGATACGGACGATGTCGATTGCTTGACGTTGGGAAAGTTCGCCAATATTGAATCGAGGGCCCTCGTCTGCATTACCGCATGCGCTTAGTGCGTGTTTCGGGGATGGATCAACGTGCGTGCCGACGCCAAGAGCGGAGCGGAAGTGACGATGCATGAACGCGACGTGAGGCGGTGCAGCCGAGCGTTCTTGTCCGCGACTCCGTGGTTACAAACCATCGTTGTCTTGCATCAACCTCCCCTAATGCCTTGGCTTCAGAGGCCCTCATCTACACACTACCGCTGAATCTACTTCACATCCGTTTCTTTTGTATTCATCACCAACTCCTTTGTCGCGCCGAGCAGCTCCCTCCCGCACTCCCGAAGACCTCCGCTCTGTCGCATACGCTATAGACCTCTCGTGCAGCCTCGGAAGCAACCTTCATCATGGCCTACATCCTCTACTCCGTCTCGCTCTTCGTTCTGGTAATTGCGACAGGTATGTTGCCTTAGTGAACACCTCCTGCGCCACACTAACACTGCGCAGCTGCCTATTTCACCCGGCACCGCTGGATACACCTTCTGCCTATCCCCGGACCCATCTACACGCGCCTCCCATACTCGTTCCGCGACGACATCGAAGCCGGCCTTTCGTCCTCAGCGTTTGACCTGAGTGGGAACGTGGAAGCCGGCGACTCGCGCCAAGGCTTGGACGACGCGGGGAAGAAGGAGGTTATGCGCATTATGAAGAGACGCGGCTGCGACTTCGACGAGGCACGCAGAATATACATGCAGGAGAGGTTCAAGAAGAACAACATTGGAGCCGATGGGATACCCCGCGACCCCAAGTTTGTCAGCTTCTCATAATTGCAACGACTGGGTTCAATGGCGGATTTCATTCACAGGGCTCTTTCGTAATTCTTTCTTTTGTATGGGGTTTGGACACATTACTACTTTTCCTTTGTTGCCTTCAGCGGCCTATCTCTGTCTGACATGCTCTTGGCGGGTATCTTTCTGCGAGTACGGATTTGGACGCCAGATATCCTGTGTCCTCTATTCTTCCGAGTTCTGCGTCTTTCTTTCGCTGACCTTTCAGCGCCTTTTCGAATACACTTTTGATGTTTTCCCTTAATCGACTCGAAGCCTGGTGAATATCATGCCTCCCAATCGTGACGCCATCGTCTCATGCTGCTTCATGTCGATCAAAGGCCATGGTCGATCAAAGGCCATGACTTCCGCGATTTCTGCGGACGGCTATTATACCGACAGGCCTGATCCCCTGGCTCGCTGAAGTACTGGTTCTAGCATTTTGGAGACTGCTCAAGCTACAACGCCCATATTCAACGTGATTGTCATTGATCCCTTCGCGTCTCTTCTCTCTACCTCGGTGCCTGAGCGTAGCCGGGAGGCCCTCCGAAACCTGGGGGACCGCCGAAGGCTGGCGGTGGGCCGTTGAAGCCGGGCGGAGGAGGGAAGAAGTTCGTCGGAGCGCCGCTTGGTGGGCGAGCAGGCAAGCCAGATGGGGGTGGTGGAAGACCTGGATGGCCAACTGGAGCTGCGGAAGGAGGTCGGCCATAGCCTCCAGGACCGTTGGGAGCGTAACCAGGAGGTCCGCCGGGAGGTCCGCCAGGGGGTCCATATCCTGCTCCAGGTCCGCTTGGTGCGCCGGGCATACCACGTCCATCCATGCCCATGGCTGGTCCGCTCGGTGCAGCACCTGGTGGAAGTTGGAAAAGATGTGCCGGCAGAGGTTGCACAGCAGGCGCAACTCCGTGGGCCTTGGCCTGTTTCGCGAGCATACGCTCCGCTTCGTCTCCGTGCCGCTCACCCTTTCCGTCTTTCTTGTATGCGTATTGAACCGTGATCTGCTTGCTCATGATGTACTGGTTGTGCATGCTCGCGATAGCCGCATCTGAGGATTCGAAGTCGCCGTAGGAGATGAACCCGTATCCCTTGGATGCTTGCGTGATGTCGTCGCGCGCAACCTTTGGCGCATTCACCAACGGTCCGAAGCGGCCAAATGTATCGTACAGTGTCTTTTCATCCACTCCAGGATCAAGGTTACCAATGAACAGCTCTGCGCCAATCTCAACATTCTTCTGCTTATCTGCGGACGCCTTGTTAACACGTATCCGACTTCCGTATAGCGCAACGTTGTTCATGATCTTGGGCGCGTAATCTGCCTCTGCTTCCGTGTGGAACTCGACGAAACCGAACCCTTGATGTTGGCCGTTGACGCGATCTACGGGCATGTTGACATTTCGTACTCGGCCGGCGTTGAGCATCAGCTCGTGAAGGATGCGGGGCGTGATGCGCTCATGGAGGTTTCCGACGTAGACTGTGGCTTCTTTATTCTGTTCCCTGCGCATTCGTGAGTTCATGTTCGCTACTTGTTCGCTACTCGGAATGCTGCAACTTACCAGTGACGCGCACTCGGGGCCGACATGTTGAAAGGGCTGCTGTCTATAGGCTCGAAACGCTGATTCCTGGGTCGCAATAGAAATCCGGACGATTTAGTTGGGGTCGTGAGGCGTCGTGAATGGGAACTGGTGTTCAGGAACGAAGTGAAGGCATCTCGAAGATATTGGAGCTCCAGTCTGAGCTTGCGCTAACACGCATGCGGCTAATCCCAAAACTTTGAGCTTTACGCATCATCGCAACTTCGTTCGCTGGGCCCGCCTTCACCCATTACCGCATACAACTCGACCACCTCAACCCCAGGCCGACTACATACTCAACATGTACCAGCTGTCAGAAGAGTCCAAGGTCCGTCAATACGCCAAGTACATCCAGACCGGGCTTCCGTTGACTCCATACAGGAGCGCATCGCGCGCATCATCGATGTCTCCCGCGTCGCTATTCACTACGGCTACCTGCCTTTGATCCTATACCTCGGATACTCTCGAAGCGAGCCTAAGCCTTCTCTCATCCGGTGAGTACACCGCCTATTCCCGCCGTACCTATACCAGCACGAGGTTCTTCTTCACAATGGGAAAGAACTTCGCCGGCTGTGGAAGTCTGCCTGGCGACTTTCGAAGACTGGAAGCAGACTGTAAAAAGGAGATTGTAGTATTGTTCCTACAAGATTACACTAAGGTCATAATGGGCCAGCCCGGCAGTGTCAGTGGAAGACCAAGGCATCTACGGGGATTATGGTCTTTCCGCTCTTCGAGTCGCTCGCTTCTGTTCTGAACCTCTTTTCCAACATACCACTCGATCCCAGCCAATGTGCATTTGGGAACTTAGCTGACTCTTCTAGTCTTTTCTCTCCCCTCGCATAAGCACCAGACGACGATATGACAACAACGATTTGCGATTCATTGTACAATACTACACACTCTAGGCGCATGGATTCTCGGGTATGATTTGGACCGTGATGGTCGGGAAGATGGGCTATACAAGTACCATGTGTTCGAAAATTCCTCAACTCTATCACGTCGCACGGAAGTCGGCAAAACGTATCCCACAGGAGGCGGGATTTGTACATGTATACCAAAGTCTTAATACGAATTGACGGTACCCTGCAGGACGGCCGGTGCCATGGCTGCCCGGTCCGAGTGGTAGCCCGCTTTTTGCACCAAACACATTCGTCTTGCGCATGCGTGTCACAATTGCTGGAACTTGCGGAGTCTAAGCTTGCGCGCACGTCGGTCCTCATTGAGCCCAGCGCCGGTTGGCAGGTATTGACAGCTACGCGGGGCAAATGCCGGTTGTGCGGTTGACGCCAATGGCGAGACGCTACCTGACCCACGTGGTATCCCGGTCGAGCATCGCGACCCATGCTCCTCCATTCTCAACCTCTGCGAACTGGAACACCCGGCCACCGGTCCCCACAGTACACGCGGGCACTCGTTATGGAGTCTTATATCCCAGGCGCACGGCGCTGGGCCTGCTCTAGTTTGTGCTGCGAATCTTCATCGCATAGCCCCCACGCCTCCCGTGTCCACAGTATATCGAGAGCTCCCCCGGATGTTCTCTACCTATTCTCTAGACCTTATGGACACTCCGAATTGCTATCCCCATTCCCATCCGTGCGCTGTCTTACTACCTGGCTGATTGCTCAACTTCGTGCATGACCCGTCATCGTCCGCCACCATGACCGTCCCCAACATTGGGGACATCTTGGTGCTGTCGCAGAAGGCTTGGAAGATTGGACGCACCTTTTCTGCTTGCCAAAAGAATGCGCCAGTGGAGCTTCAATATGTTGAGACGGAAATCGGCAGCCTCGCAAAATCATTGGCATCGTTGGCAGAGACGCTGCACGCGGAGTCCGTGCGGCAGTTGTTACAGGACGCTGACCAGGAAATAAAATATGGCGTTGGTACCATCCTAAGGTCTTGTCAACGGACAGTAGATGATCTTGACTCGCTGATCGACCAATACCAAGTCATCAAGAAGCACCGCACAGTTGGAGGGTTCGCAATTGAGCGCTCGTGGAGCGATCTGGTATTAGCCTCATACAGGACGATGATCTGGACTCCCGAGGGCGGAAACCTCGCAGATCTGAAAGAGATGTTACAGACACATACGAACTCTATCGATGAGTTGACGGAAGCATTGCAAAGGCTAGTGCTGCCAGATCCATGTCACACATCTACTGACCATGGTGCAGCAAGTCTATGGCTCGTATGGACAGCACCGTCATACCAATCGCAGAGCGAATCGATAACATGCACCACTTGGCTGGAAGCATCGATCAGCAGCTTGACGAAGTACATCGTATGGTAGAGGACCTAATGATTGCACCACACACTTCACATGTGCCACCCGTACCAGCAAAGAACCCTGCGCGTTCACCGACCACCGAAAACGCCGACCCATTGAGCCAAACGTATCATGCTTTATTTCCCCCAGAATCTTCACTCAGGTCACAAAATGTCAAAATATCTCTACCACGGATCCCGCAGCGCCCAGAGTCCCACGAACAGTCCTCTATAGTCAGATTCAACGATGATGCTCCTGTTCCGACATCTCCGGCGGATGTCGTATCCGCCTCAAGAACATCATCACCCGCTCAAAAACGTGTGTCGGGATTTAGCTTTGGCGGCTCATCTTTGCGATACTCCAGCAGTAGCTATGCATCGTCTGACGCTGGTACAAGCTCAGTCGGTTGGCAAAGTCCATCTTCGTTACTGCCTGACTCCCATCTGAGCCGACAATATTCGACATCGACCAAGAATATATCACCTCTTCCAAGAACACCGGAAGTATGCGAGCCGGGCCGAAAGGCTGACAATCGGCATCATACGCTACTCCCACCTCCGGCTATGAAGCTCGGCTCACTTTATGAACTCGAAAGAACACCTACTCAGACATCGCATGCCATGTTAAGCCCTTACCCTTCGTTGCAACCAGAGATCATGAAACTTCACCGAAGTTCAACCACTACCAGTCAAAAAGCCGCCTTCGAGAAAGAAGCCTTTCGAAACTCCGCCATTCTATGTGATGTGTAAGCCGACTTTACCCTTAGTCCGTTCTTCTCAGTGTACGTGTTTAGCAATGCTAACTACAGAAAGTCGCGGTTCGCTCGTCGAATACTCGCACCGGATAAACCAAGACGACCCAAGAGACGTCGAAATGATCCAGGCTTCTGAAGAGTGCAGAATCGCCGTAGTACGGAAACGCGTAACCGACTCTGAGACGAAGGCAGTGCGCGTCGTGACATCCGTATGGGCGTTTAGCGACGACAACACCACCCGCGTGGAGCTACGTATGGAAGACGACCAGATGTACATACCGTACTCCAGCTACTTCAACCCAGCCAAAGCCTCCATCACAGTTCTCTGCGAGCTCATCTTTCACGATGTCAAACACGGCAATCGGCCAGTGCGTGTAGAAAAGACAAGCTGGGTCAACTACGTCTTCGACTCACCACAAGGTAGACTACCGAAACAGCATCTAAGGAAGAAGACGATGACTAACTGCATACCCAGCGGCCGCACTCTTCCAAAACGAACTTATGGGCCGCACTCTGCTCGCGACATTCCGCACAGAAAAAACAATGCGCATCCACGAAGGCCTCTCCAAATCCTTCTCCTACGCCGAGCAAATGTGCGGCCTGGAGAACCTCCGCGTATGGGAAGATAACGACACAGGCGCCATCATCGCCCTAATCCATTTCTCCGCCGACTTCCGAAATGGCTACCTAGCCTTCTACCTCAACTCCTCCGTCAACCCTATCAAAGTGAAAGACGGTGGGGACAGAGAGGTGAAGATCAAAGGGCTGAGAGTACCGATTGATCGGGGCGATCGCGCGATGAGGAAGGACAGTTTTGCAGAAGCTGCCACTGCTTCTGTTACAGGGAAAGGTAAGGAGAAAGTAGGGGCTGGGAAGAGTGTGGACAAGGGGAAGGTTATCAGCGGGGCGAAGATTGAGTTTGCGACGGAGATGGAGAAGAGGGAGTTTTTGGAGATGTGTAGCGAGATGCAGAGGGAGTTGATTGAGTTGCCGGATTTGTTGGGGGTTAATTGATGAGGTGGTTAGGATGGGAAAGGTTGGGATGTAGGCATCGATTAATTGTGCTACACTTTTTATGGATCGCCAGAATGGCTTGTTCACATGAAGTCTCCTCGAGATCTGATATCTCGTTCAGGAGCATACACATCAGGCGTGCCGACTACCGGGTAGGGCAAAGCCTCTAGGAGCGTTGAACGCCGTTTCCTCAGCCTTGATCACTATGACATCTGTATGGTCTCTCAGAGCTTCCACTCGCCCTCGCCCCAGAATCGGTTGTAATCCTCCTTCCATACCTTGTTAGCATTGTCTTGCCTAATGCGAGGACTGAAGTAACGTAATAGTGTCTATCGCGCCGGTCTTCACTAATTTCGAGCACAACCCTCGTACCGCCTGCGCGGACCGCGGCATTGGTCTCTTCTGATGCTGAGGCAAGGGCGTGAATACTGACACGAATGTCGCGTGTGGAGTCAAGTACGCTTAAAGCTCTACCGAAGTCTTTGACCGCGTTGACTGTGTCCATCTGATCTCTGGCGCCCTTCGAAACGGCAATGTGAAAGATGCGGGAAGGGTGGGCAAACCGCCGCGGGTCGATATCATCCTCCAAATGTACGTCACTCAGCAACGTGCGGCGAAGGTGGAGTACGCACCCAGACTTGCGGATGAAGTTGAGTAGATGACAAACTCCTTCTTCCCATGTTCCACCCTCCGTCATGTATCCGTGTTTCTCCAGGAGAGAGAACATATTGTACCCATGAGAATTCAAGAAGGTATTGAAGTCGGAGGACGAGGTCGTCTGAAGGCAAGCGTACCAGTCAATGGCTGCCTTGACCACTCCTTTCCGCGCACTGAGGATATAGAAAGCGGGGATTTCCGCCTCGATCTTGGGCGCAGTGCCAGTGAGATAAGGAAACCGCTCGACGACTCTTCCGGGTAGTAGTTGCTGTGTGGTCTTGAGGAGGATGGTTGCTGCTTCGCTGTTGATGGTCTTGCAGGTGGCCAAGATAGCGGTAGGTGCGGTGTACGTGATGATAGTGAAGCTGCTCTCAGTCGTTCCGTCGCTGCTGCGCTTGACATATCGAGTACGAATGGTACGGTTCGGCAGAAGCTCATACACCATCAGTCGCAATTCTGTAGGCAAGTCGAGGAACCCCAGGGGTCGGGATTGCGCGTTCGTCATGCTTGATCGTGGAGCTTCAAAGTCCTGGATTAGCTTCGAAGTATTGTGAATTTTCTGTAGACTTTACCTTGTGGTTTCGTTGCAGTGCAATGAAGTGAGTCTTATTGGGGTGCTTGTATCCACCACGGGTAGTAGTGGTTTTCGCCGCCGAGCTGGCGCTTAACAATCTGGGCTCTATCGCGGTCCCAGTGACTCGTAGTGGGGGAGTAGGATGGAGAGTACCTAGGTATCTGGTAGGGAAAGAGCAACTGCTCGTAGCCAGATTGGGAAGCACAGACTGACGCTAACCCCACTCGCGGAAGGCTAGGCAGCGACGCGCAAGGAACTCGAGGTCAAGGTAAGTGTGGATATCAAACCACAAGTTGTGCGCAGCAGTAGGACAAGAAAGATAACAAGAGATCAAGCGCTAATTTGATAGAGCGATAAAGATACTACTATTATTACACATGTTCTACTTTTCCAGAATAAATCAAAGCTAGACGCTCTTGCCGTCTTATCTTCGCCTTTACCTTCACTCTACCTCTAACCCCGCCCACACCTATACAACCCACGCAAAAAGAGACCAAAAACAACACCACCCCAATGCGCTTCGAGACGGTGCATCTTCAGAGAGAACAGCATAAGGTCGTTTGTCTATGATGACGCTCTTTTATCCGGTGAGGGCTCTGCGATAACCCTTGTTGCAGTTTCGATCGAGCAAGTCGCCGATCCTGAATTGGCTCATACCCGTTGTATGTCGACCAGAAGGCCAGATCCTGTGCCTGGACTAGCAGGCACAAGAACCTGGGAATGGTGCAAGAAGGATGAAACGTCGCAAAACATGCCGATAACCAGTGTGGAACTAGAGTCACTTGGATCAACGTCGACTAACAGTGTTGAAGGACTAGTAATCGAAGTAGACGCGCAACGCCGAAAGAAGGCACAAACTGTTACATTACGACAGTTCTGGGCTTTTCCTTGAGCAGAATGCATGCTCCCCAATTAGATAATACTCGGGAACATGAATTTGCACATGATTAGATGGTTTAGAGCAGTACATACCAATGGCCATCTATCACGTCTCCAGATCCGAAGCACAGCGTGCGCAATGGAGACAATATGATGATCTATCCCGTAGGCCCAGCAGCCAGCGCAGCACCTTTTCAAAAGCAGTAGATGCTGTGGAGATGGTAGAATAACGAAGTGAAGAGACGGGATCAGATTCGAGGAGTAAGGAGATCTCACGAAGCTGCAACCGGCGTGTTGATCTCGTAGAAAGGCTGGCTCGTCCTGATCCTTGCACGACGAGCAGGCTTGTGAAGATCGCAAAGACCGCTCCCAACTTCTGTCTGCGTCGATAGCACCAATGAAGGAGTGATGTTTGTTGTGCGAAGGATCGCTGCGCCTGGGAGGCCTGAGGTTGAGGACGGAGACAAGGCGAAGTGGGGAGGTTGGACTGTGCGTAATTGGCCAGCTCCCCCAACAATGGCGTTCGCCGTTGTAGATCTCTTCGCTTCAGCCTGCACCCTTTTGTTTCGTTGCTATTCTGATAATTCAGTTCAGCCAGTCAAGCCGATGGAAATTTCCTGACGTTTGACCAATCAGGTTATTTCCGCATGTTCGAAGGCTTGTAAACGGCAGCCTCCCGCTGCGCCTGCGCCAGTTCTGTTCGCTTGAACTTCGGTGGCTATGTATCAGCCGCAGGCACACGCCAAAGCTCACAGCAGTGATGCGCAAACCACTTGCGAGATCGGCGGAAGCTAATACGGTGCACCGAACGGATGGAGTCAGATCAAGGTGTCGCTGAGGGCTTAGTTGTGTTCGAGCACAACCTTGAAGACATGTCTTCAGTTGGCAAATGTCCAGAGTCCTGGCGAGTCATCGAATATCGACCAACATGGGGGGAAACGTAATCTACATGCCCGATGCTTGGCACTGTTCGGTGAACAGCTGTGGTATGGCGTCCGGAACAAGACCTGGTCGTTCACGGATGTCATGTGCACTGACGTGCTCGGAGAAGCAGTGGGGTACATCCGCCGCGTCATGCTCAACCTGAACTCTTCCAGCATAAACTTTTTCGTTGTGTAAGCTACTCCGGCCGCATATTGCGTGCATGTCTAACGGAATCCAGTAACCGCATTGCGCTTACCATATCACCTGCTCTCCTGACCGCTGGCATCTATCTCTCGTTCGGACACATCATCGTAATCGTCGGAGCCGATTATCCGAGGTCAAAACAGAAGATTTACACGTACGTCTTCGTCGTCGGCTGAAATCTGCTCGCTCTTGTCCTACAGGCTACTGGTGGTGGCGTGGTCGCAACTACGGGAGACAAGGACAGCTCACGAACGGGAGTCAATATCATGATTGCTGGTCTGATGTCCCAAGTCATCACCGTGACTCTTTTCCTGGCTCTCTGGGACGAGTTCCCTCTCCGTATTCGGCATGCGAAGATCTCGGGCAGCTTGCCGTGCGCCCGGCCACCACTGTACGACCACCTTCGTTCGACAAAGAATTTCATCTGTTTCTAGTAGACTCTTCTTGTTGCAACAGTGCTCAACTATGTGCGCTGCATATACCGTGTCGCTGAGCTTTGGAACGGTTTCGGCGGAGCTCAGGTAGATCACGAAGCCACATTCATGGTCTTCGAAGGGCCAATGATAGTCCTTGCAGTTGCTGCATCGACAGTGTTTCATCCCGGTCGAGTATTTTCGGACCTCTGGACACCTGCTGATAAGGGCGCTAAGTGAATGGGAAAGCTCACTGATGATAATGCCAGCATATACCATCTTGCTGAATAAGAGTGGAGCAGTGCGGCGTACCAGCGGTTGAACAACTTGAAGCCATCGCTTGAAGCGCACCAAATGCTTAGTAGGCTATGAAAATGTGAATTTGGGTCGAGTAGCTGAAGATGGGATGACGGTCATGTCCTGTGGCAGCACTTGTGGCGTTGTAGGACTATACGTATCATCAGTTTCCGTCAAATTCCATACTTTTCTCAACAAATGCACTGTTCATCGAAGTCACCTTTCCTTATACAGTTTCGGTTTAGCGTTTCACAATCGACTCGGCCCCTGCGCAGATATACCTATTAGATGTATAAGAGCTGCCTGGACCTTGAGATCCCTGGAGCCGCAGCTGGAAATGCCTGGAACCAAATCGTGGCTGTGTTGTCTTGATCCTGTGACAAGTGCATCCAGCGGTGAACCTGGTGAAAGGATGTCGGTCGTCGTCTCGAGAGCTAGCAGAGGCATCCATGGACCTTAAGCGGATCACACCTGCCTCATAATGATCGACAAGTTTGCGATCGTTGTAAAGGCAGGAAGTGGACAGCCGGGTTGGTATCGAGCCAGCTACGTACCTAGGTAAGAACGAGAGGTCGATGCTTGCCGCTCAGACCTACGAGGAGCGGATGCCCCCGACAGGCCGTTCTTCGGCATCCGAGGCTCTGCGCGCATGTACTTTACGTCGGAGAGCGATTGCCTCGCTCGGGCCCTGAGGAGGATGTCAGTGGTGCGGAGAGCAGTGTGCACCGACGTTGCAGAAGCGGCGCGCCGATGGCATGGTCTTTGGGTGAAAACCCGATTGAAGGGAAACTCAAGCTGGGGATGTGGCTGAGTGATCCTCACCGTCCTCGCTAGAGTATGCACCTTTCCTCTTTCGGCTGGCTCGCCGGCTTTCACCCTTTCTTTCGAGCTCGCCCTTCCTGTACCTCGCCAACAACAATGACCAAGACTCGCCAACCGTAGCCGTTCCCGGCGAGAGACGACTCAAGTCCATAAACGTTCTTCTGGCTATCGCGAACAATTCCTTGTCGACGTGCGTCGTGCCATGTGCTCCATGCGTCTCCAAGCGCTGTGCCCCACGTCTGCGCTGAATAGCCCCATCCTTCCAGCCTTACGGGTACTACGCCCAGGTGGTGGCGCGCCGTCTCCTGTCAGCGTTTGGGAAACTGGAAGTCGACATGTTGTTTCATGACCACATCCGTTCCCTCTCGCCAAATTCGCGCTAGCTAACGTTGTGGTGACCTAAATCGGGGACTTACACGGCCTCATCTGCAGCCCAGCCTGCATGAAGTCAGCCTCTTGATGTGCATTTTCATCATGGCGAGCAAGGCGGAGCCTCACCTGCGTGCACCGTATGCTTGCAGAGTTTCAGACGCGATGCTGGACAAGGTACCGTGCCTCTGGCGCTTCTGTCTCTTGTTTATGCTTCACCTCCCCTTGTCCATTTACTTCAGTGTAGGCCCATTGTTCAGTACATATCTTCTCTCTGGGCCAAAAGCGATATAACGATACTCAGTGGAGCCCATCCCGCAACACCCGTCTGGTACGGTTGTAATTATCTTTCCGTAATTCCGGCACACACACATTTAACACATACTACGTACTGTTGCCGACGCGATCGACCGTGCAGCGCATCACTATGGACGCAGACAGACGACTCGCCAAAGCTCTCGAGGCCGCCAACGACGCTCTTCAACATCTTTCAATAACAGCCGACTTCGCAAGTTTAGACTGCACACACATCGACCGACTGCTTGGGCGCGTAGTCGATCTACCAACCGAGGGAAACCAAAGGAACAGCAGGCGGAACTTGCTTGTCATCCGACAGTGGATGATTAGTGAAGGCCCCGGCGTCGTGCTTCTCGAAGTCTTGGGTCAATTGTATTGGCGGTTGGGCGAGCTCAATAGCAACCAGTTCGAAAAGTTCAAAGCGACACTTCAGCAACGACAGCCATACGTAACTTTGGTGAAAGATGTGAACGCAGTAGCGCTGGTGATTCAGCGCATTCGATACATTCAGAGATCAAAGGCGGACGCTTGTCAGGACTTTCTGTCTGAGTTGTCGGATCTTATTGGCGCTAAAGGTATGCGTTTTACCATGAGAGTACCAAATGTAGCTTGCTAATTTGAGCAGTCGATTCGCCAATGCTAACTGTAGAAGCTTTACAGATATGCTCACGTAGTCCGACGCGATCTGTCCGTTCTCGTGACAGCACATCTTCACAGGAGACAGGACCCGCAAGTCTCATCAAGTATTTCCCACCAAGCATGGTCCCCGCTGCTGGAGATATGGAAAACTTCCTCATCGACTTCTACATCAGGGGCATCTGCTCGGGTCGCACCGTTGCAACGCAGACGAATGTGTATACGTCGTTATTACAGGTTGCGGATACTTGCTTAAGCACACGCTACGCTATCCTCAGTCTCTCAGCATCATACCTCTGCGAACAGATTCCGAAAGACAAGGATACCTATCACCAAGCAGAACTGTATTACTCCACGCAGGCACTTCAAGCTCTAGCATCACAAATTAGCGATGGGCATCACTATGACGGTGCCCTGGCTACTAGCATGTTACTGATGCATCACGGCTTGATAAATCAAGATGACTCTCATCTATGCTGGTCTTGCCACGCCAACGTACTCGATGCGATTCCGCCAGAAGTCATCAACCATCACTCCGACCCCATCATGTTCCTGCACGCTCAGCTCATCTTAGCACGCACGGCACAAACCTCTCGTCAATTGAGCAACACTCGGCAACATGCATTCGAGACGACAAGCTGGTTAGACGGTATGTCGCCAAGCGATTCTTCGAAGATTTCGACGACCCTTGGGGTCTCGCCTCAGCTACTATTCTTCATATCGTCCACAACTTCACTTCCGACAGGACCTTACAGAATGAACAAACTCATGTACGCACAAGCACAAGAGCGACAACTTCAAGAACTGAAGCAGTGGAGTTCAGAGCCAGATGGGCCGGAGAGGGAGGTTTTGCTCGCTACAGCAGAGGCTTTTCGCCTCGCCGCGCTCATCTACCTACGCTGCCGCGTCTACGGGTAAGCCCATCATATAACCCGCAACATTCACATCCTAACATGCCCTCAGATTCACAAGATTCCACTCTTCCATCCTCGAGCTCTCCGACGCACTCCACACCTTGATCCTCTCTTTACCAGTCAAAGGCTTACTATACACCGCCATCTACCCCGTCTGGTCCTTCTTTATCGCTGCAGTCACTGCAAACTCAGACAAGCGCGACCGCCTATACCAGCGCGTCGTACCAATACGAGAAGGCGACAAGAACACACTCCCACCCGTGCTCAGGCGTATCAGTGGTATGCGCACCTGGCTTGCAAACCAGGACACGTCATGCCAGCGCGACGACGGCTGGTGGGACGAAATGCTTAGTCCCAAGTCTAGCACTATCGCATTGAGCCCGCATCTCTTGTGCTTGGGTTGAGCAGCTTCCGAGTTTGTCGTGCTCGGCCCATCGTCCGTCGCAAACTATGCGCATTTCCTTTCGTTCCAGCAAACGCTGTCATGGCCTGTTCTTACTCTGGTTTCCTACGTCATATATCCTAATCCGATGCATCTTAGCGAGTCGTCATCTCCCTGTCCTTTCGGTACATCTCACCATCTCAGCGAGCATAGCGTTACCCCTCATTCGCCGTCGAGTTGCTCTACCACGTCTAGATCTCAATTCAAACAATGTCTTTGGAATCAATCTCTTCCTTTTCGTACTCCTTGGAGTTTCACTTTCCGGATCGTTTACACAGCCTTCAGACATCTTCGAGTCATGAGTCTGCGACGCTCCTTTACTGTGACGACACCGCAATGCCATCGAGCAGAAACACTAGATCAAAAGGCGGGCATCTCACTTCTTTCTCAGTTCGTGCTTGGTAAAGACATTGCTTCTATCATCCACGTCATCTCTCTAGTCACGACATCTTGTCAGCGTATCCCAGGCCAGTATACCGCATCACAAGTCCTGACCAAACCAACACCACGGGCCTCAGCTGCGCAAATGTAGCAATACAATTACAGCAACAAAATAGACGTCGTGAAAGCGCAGTCGTAGTCTCGAAATGCAATTCAGCTTGCCTCGTCTTGCTGGTGCAGACAAAGAGAGCTGTCCTGGACATGTATTAATGGTTTTTACACTTCTAAAGTCTCTTATAGCATGCAAGAGCAGTTTGATTACGCTACCAGGGGATGCAAGGCGAAGACATTGATGGACTGCAATGTGGTGTTCGTGGCACGTGACGAGTAGTTGGCTAAGTTGCGACATTGGTGACGGTCTTGATATACGCAGCTTCGTAGTGTATGTGTTGATGAGCCCACACAAAACAGCGAGGCTAAGAGTTTGTAGATATCGAACGTAGACCTGAGCGTTTGGGCTGCTTCCTGGGGCCTGCGCTGGTCTGGTAAGCGCTTGTGTGAGATTAACAGTATCCGGAAAGAACTGTCATCTGATCCGCCTCCACGATGATGTCTAGTGTCTACAAGTTGGCGCTGCGTGTCACTAGGTAGGCCCAAAACTGATCTCTCAAGCGCCAATGTGAAGAAACACAAGTTCAAAAAAGAGCATTAGTACACGGAATCGAACAGGCGCGAAAGTTGGGAAGCAAAATTACATGGAGCTCGATGTGTTGCGTACGACTAAGCCATCCTTCCGGTGGAACATTGTCAAAGCCTGCAAACTGACGATGGAGTCTTTCAAAATTTCAACATACATGTATTGCCATCCACTACATACACGGCTTTGCTGCCCAAGTTCACCTGGCAACGCTTTACGATGGGCGCACCCGAGCGTTTGCTCTCACGCACTCCCGCACCTCCACACCGGGCCCCACTATGTTTATACATTATCTTGGCGCCTGCCTTGACAATTTTGACCTTCTCGCTTTTGCCTTCGCTCTTCACTGACCCTGCGAAGGAACTGCGCGCACTGCCGATACTAACAATGGCGATTCCACTGCCCACCGAAGCCCGCGGAACCAAGCGCAAGGGCGAAGACGTCGATATCGAGGACATTATCAGTCCAGAGGCGCAGAAGATCAAGACGTTCATTCGTGGCGGATTCCACAAGGTTCTAGCCAAACTTGGATACCACAGAGAGATCAGCAAGAACGACTTGCGTTTAGACCACGAAATAACCAACTCGTATGTGTTTCTCTCCCTGTTCACGATCGCAAATTAACTTGCATAGTTGCCTGGCCGACTTGGCAAAGTCTTTGCCACAGACCTTTCCCATCGCTGGTCCTGGCAGAAGCCTATGGAAGTGCCATGCGCAGGTCGCCGCCACGTACTCACCCGTCATGCGGGCCCTGATTGAGAAGCACGTAAGTGCTCGAGCTCATCTGTTTTAGGGCTCCATTCCCGACTTCAGGTTGAACGATTCTAATGTGTGTGAATAGAAGCAGATCTTTGCTATGGAAGACTGGCCGACGTACGCTATCGACGCCATGGTGGACTTCTTTCGCCATCACAAGGCCTACCGCATTATCACCCCTCTCGACCGCCACAAGCTCATGTACTTGGACCCTACATCCAACGCTTCCGTTGAAGCTATTCCCTCCGATGTGTGCCTCGCTCACGTTCACCTCGATATCTTCAAGCTAGCATATGACTGGAATATCAAACATCTCCAGGAATTCGCTCACAATGCATTAGTCAAGGCCTTGGCGGGTCAGCCTACGCTGGCTCAGTTCAAGCACATGCTTGTCAGCACTGGCATATTCACAGCAAAGTATTGCACGCCTCCTGCTTCCGAAGATCATCTTCTGAACCTGGTGTTGATGGCTTTGGGTACTTATGGTGCTATGGTTCACGATGCCTGGATGAGGGAAGAGAACCGTCAAGAATATGTCAACCTATACATTGTTGCACCTTATTTCGCTGTCTATCGCGATCTGGCGACACCAGGACATAGCGTCGTTTTTGCTGAGTGGTCAAAGGAGGTAGACGCGAAGCGGCAGAAGATCGAGGGCTCCGGTTCAATGCAGTTGTCATAGCGGTCTGCCAAAGTCAATCCATAGGTGGCTCCAATCAAGTACAGCACAAAGACCAAGGGGCTCGCAATAGACTTTTATGACATTGCCATTTGATCTATCAGTATCCACATGTACTCCCAAAGGATTTAATTACGAAGAGCCCTAAATATTGCGCCTGGATGCTTAAGATTGCCAGACCGTGTGATATCGCTACGCTGTGGAACATTGAAAAGGACAAACATGACAAGTTGCCTGGCGCGCACGCATATCGGGCCCGAAGGGGAAGGGTAGCACTGAAGAAAGCAATGGACCACTCCTGCAAGCTCGATGGTCTTTAGGCACCATTTGTAGACTTTGGCCACAAATCTACCGCTTGTAGGGTGCCTGATCTGGCGCTCTGAGAGGACGGACGAGAAGGCGAATAGCGGTTGGAGTAGTTACATGAGATGTATAAAGGCAAATTCCGTAGCGATCAAAGAGGGTACAGATGACCAAACTGATATTGCCCAATCGCATGACGTCTTCCTAGGTTTCGTGATATGTCGTTGATCGGTAAGGACGGAAGACGAGAAGTTTGGGTATAGCTGGGAAAATGTACATGGAAAGGGTATCGAAGTCCAGAAGCATGAAACAGCTCGCCATTACTCTTGTGGCTCTAACCGGAAGAACTCTTCATGCTGTAGTGGTGTGCCCAGTAGGGGTTTAGTGGCCGCCGTTCTTCCTGAAGTTGAGCAACTGAGATAGGCTCGCTAGGCTGCATCCGCTCTTGAGGAAGTCGTGGCTGATCAGCTCTCCGGCACTTGCTCGGGACTTTACGTCGACGCAAAGGCAGACCGACAAGAAAGCCTTGAGCTCTTTCGAGAGCTTGTCTGGCTTCTTGAGACGAGGAGTGCCATTGGTGGCAATGAGATACAAAGCCTTGAGCGGTTCCTCATTCAGGTACGGTGGTTCAGACTCGATCATCTCAATGGCCATGATACCCAAAGACCAGATATCGACCTTGTTGCCATACTCTTTTTGCTTGACGACTTCAGGGGCCATCCAGTATGGAGTTCCGACCATGGTTGCACGCTTGCTGCGCTGCTCAGTAAGTTTCGCACTGAAACCAAAGTCGGCTGTCAAAGGTTAGCAAGCTGACGACAGAGGATACGTGGCGGATACATACTAATCTTGACATTGCCACGGCCATCGAGCAAGACATTGTCACTCTTGATGTCTCGGTGGATGATGTTCAAGTTATGAAGGTACTCAAGTCCCTTGCAGGTCTGATGATTGTCAGTGTAGATTCCCGAAAGTCCATGCTACGTAGCTTACCTCGAAGCAAATCGTCGCGATCTGGTCTTCGCTAATAGAAGGGTTGTTGTCAATGATGTCGGTCAAAGCACCTCCCTCCATGAACTCCATGACGACCCAAAGCTCGGACTGCTCCTCTTGCAAGAACGCGTCCAAGAAGTTGACAATGTTGGGGTGTTTGCTGTCCTTCATGACAATAATCTCGTTTACAATAAGTTCTTTGCGTGGCTGATTGCGGAGATCCATTTGCTTGATAGCGACCTGTGCACGTGGGCCATTTTCTTGCATAACCCTTCGGGCCATGGGCGAAGTGGCACCTTCACGGATGCGAGCGACATACACGGAACCACTAGCACCTTGACCAATCTTCTTTTGCTTGTTGTACGAGTCCAGTGGCCGTTCTTTGGATACGACCTCCCGGAGCTTCGCCATGACCTCGCCTTCGGACATGCTGGACATGCGCACATCCTTCCGTGCTGGCTCCTCCTTGGGCTTAGCAGTAAGGGCCTGCTCGGCCTTCTTCACTGCATCACTGACAGGAGCATTCTGAGGCTTAGCAACGTTCAACGGCTTGGGTGCAGCACCTGGTTGGTATTGCTTTTGCTGTTGGTTTTGACCATTAGCAACCCTGGGAACCTGGCCACTCGAATTCTTCGAGGCCATGGGCGGGCGCTGCTGAGATGATTGCGGTTTGGAAGGAGATGTGCTGTAGCCACCATTCTGTTGCTGAGGTGCTGGAGGCGCTGGACGCTGTGCGACTGGCTGCCGCGGGGGCTGCTGCTGTGGGCCTCTTGCACCGGGAGTCGATGGCGCAGGGCGGCTGGGGTTGTACCTCTGACCTGACGGGCTCTCATCTCGCGAATAGCCGCCTCCGCCAATTTCTGTTTTTGATATTGAAAGACTCTGAAGTTCCGCAAGGTCCTGTTTGTATTGAGCATCCACGCGTTGCTGGTGCTCGTACTCCTCCCTCTGCTTCTGGAGTTCGCGTTCGCGCTGTGCCCTGACCTGGTCCTCTTGCCTCCTCCTATCCTGTTCGTAGCGATCTTGTTCGTAGCGATCCTGTTCGTAGCGGTTTTGTTCGTAGCGGTTTTGTTGCTGCGAAGCCGAGTTTTGTTGACCGCCATAGCCTTGACTGTAGCTGTCTTTTCGCTGATAATTGCCAGGTGGTGCAGGGCGCGGAGGCGCAACGGAATTGCCGCTGCCACCGTATCCAAGCTGCTTCTCCATTCCAGCATTTGTTGGCGGGGTCGGAGTGAGACTCGGGTATTGCTGAGGGTCCTCGGAACGCTTGACAAGCTTTTCGGTGTAGAACTCCAAAACTTCCAGAACAGCCTTGGGGTTCTTCGCGTAGTCGTCTTTAGTTAGAGCGGATGCGGTGAGAAGCTTCTCCCATTCTACCGGCAGACCGACGAACGCTCCGCTGTTAGGGTCGAAGCCTACGTGGACTCTGTGGGTGAAGTTGGTGGGGTTGCTGACACCGCCCATGCTGGGACAGCGCTGGTAGATGCTGTCGATCCACGAGTAGACGTCATCGTCAGTCTCGACCTTGCATGTAATGATCTTTGTAGGGCCATCGCGGGGCGGGGACGAGCCCTTGCTGGTGTTGGTAGCCTTGGTGATTTCAAAGGACAAAGGCTGCGTGTCTGATCGCTCCACGCCGAGGATGTCTCGCAGTTGAATCGTGTTTGATGCTTTGGAGGCATTAGGGCTCTTGAAGAAGTTCAGCTCGAATTCGCGCAGTACCAGCCACCGGTCGGCCCAGATCAAACCTTTGACCCAGGATGCATCCTTGACCTTGACCATGCCCTCTTTGACTGTGGCCGTTGTCGAGACGCTTCTCTCGGACTGTGTGCGTACAAGCGACATTTGCGAGCCGTTGTTGAAAGCAGGCGACCGCATACCCAGGCCGGCCATGTTGCCCGGCTTGTTGGGGTTGGTGTCGGGGAAAAGGTTGTTCCTGGTGGATGATTGCGGTGCTTGGATGGGTGGTTTTGGTGCTGCACGGGCGTTCTCGAATTGTCCATTGGGATACATGCTGGAGCAATGTGGTCAGCGGCCGGTCTCGCGAGTGGCAGTCTGATTGAAACGGGGCAGGTGACGCTGCTGCCGTTTGGGGTTGAAAGGCGGTGTTTGGAGCAGCCAGACGACAGCTGAGGAAGGAGCGCCAGGGGACTCACATGGGCAGACTATCGTTGTAGCAACAACAGTCGAATTATACAATAGCTACAATAGCTTCGTGAGTCGTTCACTGCCTCTGGTGCGGCCAGGCAGTCGAGGGTGAGTGTGGTGAATAGCGGGGGACCCGTGCTCAATGGAGTGAGCAAGTAAGTGGCGGGGCGGTGTTGAGCGAGGTTTGGGTCAACTCTCACTGAGACAGAGGGCGCTGGGGTGGTGTCGAGGACGCAGCGTCCGGAGATGGGGGTCGCGTCGAGTAAGCAGCAATGCGAGGGTCGGGCTGCAGCAGAGCGGGATACCAGTCCTGATCCTGAAAGCGAGCGGGCGCTGCTGCCAATCCAAATCGCAAAGCGTCGCGCCGAGTCGTCTTCAGCGAGGATGCCACATTCGAGAACTGCACAAGCAGGGTAAATAGGAGAAGCTGGCAGGCTGCGGGCGAGAGCGCAGTCGTGTCTGGTACACGCAGTCGTGGTAGGGCCTGGAGTGGAACCCTTTCTCCTGGCACCATTGGCTTTGGGCACTGGCGCGCTAGCATCCGGCACGGAACTTTCTCTCACGTGCGCTCGACTCCTCTTCGGACGTCGAGCCTGAAAGGAACGCGATGTGCACTCATTGGCTGTTGCCACTCGAGCAGCGGAGGACTACCAGCGGCATGAGTCTACTACAGACGTTTCATCAGCAGAAAGGCGCGACAACGGCAGAGGGTCCGGCTTGATCGCCCGGCGGTTGCAAGTACACCATCTTGTTCAGCGTTTCAGAAGAAGGCAAATTGACGTCTGAAACCCTTCTGGCTGGCCGCCAAAACCTTCCACAGCCTCCACCGGTGCATATTTAGAAACCGTGCCGCTCGCGACGTCGGTGGCTGCTTGCCTGCTTGTGCAAAAGAAGGGTTCTCTACCAAACTACGGGATTTCACGTTGTGTCAAATGTCATTGATGCTCGTCTACATTGTTACAGTTCGCACTATGCATCCATTGCAGCTGCGCACATGGTCGCCATGTATATATGGGAAGGTATCGCGACGGCAACCACTATATATCATGTCCTATTGTTTCACGTCCCACGGCGCTCGATACACCGAGTACAAACCAGCATGTTTCAACCGTCTGTTGGATGATGCCCGCCTCCGACCCCACCATTACAGCCGCTATCCCTGTCGCGACACCCGGCGATGCACGTCATGACAACAGGGGCACATGTGCACAAAGTGAACAGTTTGCAGCAAAAACTCGAGCGCACTGAACCCGTCCGGGCATGTTGCGACCGCATTTCGATAGCTTTGGTTTACTCCGGAGATTAGTCTATCCTACACCCCAAACGCCCAAAACGTCCCTGCCCGCGCCCTCCTGTTCTTTGTTCTTGCGCGCTTGGAGTACTTTTACCCTGCGAACGGATAGTCCAACAGCCAGAGGACCCAGGATAGTGCACAGAACGATGGCCCAAGTCACGACAAGAAATATGTCGGTTGGCTCGCCTGAAGTCTCTCCAAAGACGCCCTGGGACTCGGCGACACCGGAAATTAGGAAGCCAATCTCTCCACGAGCGCACATTGC